ATATTTCTGAGAGTTTCGCCGCCGCTCGCGTTTCTAAAATTTTCACCGCCGCTAAACCCTCAGCCGCCGTCCGTGTTTCTCATTCGCGCCGCTAGTCCCGCCGTCTCCGTCATCATCCGGACCCGCTCGATCAGAGGTGGCGTCACGTGGTGGAACCCCACCAATAGCTCAACGACCATCGCGTCGTCTGACATGGCGGTGCGACCACTCCTCATCGGCGCCACTCATGGCCATCGTCCAAATCCCGCCGCCGCTACCGTCATCTTCCACCTCAGTCTCGACAAAATCCGCCGCTGCACATTTCCGTTGCCATCTATAAATGCATTACTTGTGAAGTATGTGTTCGTTTATATCCTATAGATCTACGGCTATCTCTGCCCTCACAGCTGCCATCTCCGCCCTCCCCCGCAGCCGTCTCCGCCCTCCCGACGCCGGTGCCGTCCGCCTAAGCCGGAGAATTGAAACCAAGAACAAAGGAATTACGGGATCTGGAATTAGAGAGAGGACTTTTTTTAAATTAAATATAATCAAAGGACTTATTTTATATTAAAATTTAATTCCTGGGTTAAATGTGTAGATTATTAAAATTTGATAGTTGCACATAATAGTCAATGCGTTCCACGGTATTGTATTCAGATTGCACTATATTGTTATACAAGTTGCACTTTAATGAATGTGATATAGCACTTTATGTCAAACAGTGCATTTGTGCAATGACTAATGCGTGAAAAATCAAAACTGCACAACATAGTTAAACGAATTGCACGTTAATGATTACAAGATTGCACAATAGCAACCGAAACCGACCGAACTAAAAAATTCTGTTTGAAATCTTAAATTTCGATTTGATTAGATTTCTTTATTTTTAAAATTTCAAATCGAAGTCGGCTTTTAATCTTTTTAAAATAACCGAACTACATATAAAAATATTATTATTTTACATAAAATAATATTTATTTTCAACGAACAAAACATATCTATAATATTAAATAAATATTTTAAAGTACTAAATATGCTTTTATAATAGAAATAATATATATTTTTTGGTTATTTTTTGTCAATTCGGTTAAACAATCGAATACACCATGTAATTCAGTTAGATTTCAATTTACTTTGGGACATAGGTTTCATTGGTTTTGGGCGCACAAAATCGAATGAATTCGTGCACGATAGTGTTATACGTATTGCATATTAAAGTCTGACATAATGCACAATAGCAACCAAGCCGACTGACATAAAATTTTTTATTCAAGTATTATATTTTTGTTCGATTATCTCTATTACTTTAAATTTTGATTAGTTTGTTTTGATTTCCTATTTGTTTTCAAAATAATCAAAATTGCCGAACTATATATGCATGTTTTTTTTATATTTTTTTAGTACATATGCCAATACCTAAATATATTTTTTATAACATGCATAATAAATTATTTCAAATATTTGTGTTAATTCCAGTTAACAAATCGAATAAAACCGTGCACAATAGTGTTGGACAAACTGCACAATAATGACTGACATATTGCACAATTGTGATTGAAGTTTAATTTCAGTTCGCTACTTGGATTTTTACTTTTAAAAATTAGGATAATTATTTTTTTGTTTGGCGTTACTTTTAAAATAAACAAATAACTGAATTTCAAAATTATACAAAAATAATATTTTTAAATTCTTATATAAATATTATTTTTTTTTTGAGAAAAATATAAATATAAATTATTAAACAAAAATATTGAAATCCAAGATGTGTTTTTATAATATAAATTATAATTTACTTCGGTTATTTGGTTAACTAGGTTAACCGACTGAATGAACCAAGTAATCGGTTCGATTTTAATTCAGTTTGGGACAACATTTTGGTCTGTTCAACTTATTTTTCAAATGTTCTACTTAATTAATTCAATTTTAACATTTTAGTCGGTCGACTCAACTTTTTTTTCAAATGTTCGGCTCAATTATTTCAGTTTTAACATTTTAGTCGGTCAGTTCAACCGAAACAAACGATGAACAATACCATGCAATATGCAGCGTGTTGATAAATTTTGTAAATCTTTTAAATTTTAATGTGCATATACACATATGCTATTGTGCATTTTATTTATCACTGTTGTGCAATGAACTGAACATTAATGTGCAATGTTCCAATTATTAGATTTTAATAATAAATCATATATTAATCCTTAAACAAAATTGTAAATATATTAATTTTTTAAAATTTACAATTTAGTCTCCAAACTAATCAATTTCTCAATAGTAGACCCAACTTACAAATCTCAACATTTGATCACACCTTACGCAGACCCCAAATCACCCGCTCAAATTCTGGTGAAATTCCCTCACGGCCTCGCCACTGACGCGCCTTCCCCGCCAGCGAAGGCGAATTATGTCCGAGTAGGCGCGCAGAAGGAATGGAAGCTGAAAAGCTCCGGTGGCCACGCTCCAGATCATGAATGAGTACACGAATTGGCTGCCGAATCGCAGGCCCTTGACGTCAGACGATGGATTAATGTATAGAACCACCTCCTCTATTTGGCCGTCGCCTGGTTGGTATCGGCAGATTTCGTGTTGTCAGTGCCGAATTTGGTCGCCTCCAAGATGTGCTCTATGGCCGTCGATACCAACCGACAGAAGGCGGCTACGATGCTGGCGGTGACTGACGGAAGGAGGCGACTGACGGTATGAATGCGGTGGCCGGCGACAGTAAAACTGGCGGATCTGATTGTGTGTGTGAGATGGTGGACTTCCGCATAATTTCCTTCAGATTGGGCGGTATTTAGTGGGCGGGGGAGAGAGAGGGAGATAGAGAGTTTGGTGATTTGGTGAGTGGGTCCCACATGATATATGTGTATTGACCAACTTATCCTTAATTATTGGTCAAATGCATATATTTGACCCTCTATGATCAAATAATTACCACATTGCCATTAATGATTGACCATATTTTGACTTCATCTTAACCATTGATATGGTGTATCCAATGCACCAAATTTATTATTATTTTTTTCCTAGAGCACCATTCTCATGTGATCCTACCTATATATATATATATTATATATATATATATATTATGTTACAAAGTAATATGAGGTAAAAGTATAAAAATTAAATTCAATGTGATGTAAAATAATAAATATTAATTAATATTAACAATTTTAAATATGTAGTTAAATGAATATTAGTATCCATTCAAAAATATTATAACTATTAATATTAATGCCTAAAAAATAGAGAATAAAATTATTTCCTAGATTATAACATATATATACTCTACTCAATGATGTGCATATGCATGTATACAAATGTAATTTTATATGTTATAAGTATGTGTATTTAAATGGGCATAATATATTTTATATAAATGTTATTATTACTAAAAATGGACGATATCTATATCTATACATATATAATAAGAATAAACTTAAATTATATATAGTAAGCATTTCTCGTTATTATGCATTAATTATATTCTAATTATAGTAATTTTACTCAATTTCTTAAAATAAATCTTGAGACATTAATTGTAATCAGTTTTAACTTCTCTTAACAATCGAATTTATTGTTTTAAAAAGATACTCAATAATATTTGATTAAACAATAAATTCGGCTGTTTATAATCAATTCTATTTAAAAGCAGTGTTATTATAGAATCAAATATTATCAATTATATTTTTAAAAGTAGTATAATTATGGGATCAAATAATTTAACTACGATTCAATCTTTTTAATTCAATCTATATCTCTTTTTAGACTTATCAATTTATTTTAATATAATATAAATTTGTAATATTTATGTTTATTCTGAGATTTGAGCCTTGTATTTTTAGTTCTTGTAATGAATGAATCTTTGCGCTTATCGACTCTAGTGTTTTCCATTCCCGTGCTTCATTCCTGCAATGTGTTGTGTCATCGACCAATATACAACTGTCACGATGTACTCGTGCTGACGAGTCTTCCAAACCTTTCTTTGTATGTATATTCACCTCCGACCAGTGGTCGAGACATGCAGTCAACCAACTTTATAAGTTCAATCATAATGAGTCATATTACATCCAACACATGTCCACCTTTAATGGGATGGTCTAATGGGATGGTCTATACACATACTCATTCAGCCTCATGCCCTTAGTCATAATAGATTTTACGCTTTTGAACACATGTCCACCCTCAAAAGGGTGGTCGATTCATGCGATCATCTAGCCTCACGACCTTAGTCGGGATGGATTTTTCACCTTTGAACACATGTCCACCTTCAAATAGATAGTCGATACATGCGACCACCAGCCTTACAACTTTAGTCGTGATGGATTTTACGTCTTTGAACACATGCCCACCTTAAAAAAAGTGGTCGATGCATGCGACCATCCACACTCACCTTTGAACACATGCCCACCTTAAAAAAGTGATAAATGAGTGCTACACGAGCACCTCTTGCACTGGCTTCCCAAATATTCATATATTTGGATCGAAATATATTGTTGGGGCTCTTGTATCATCAACACATGCGATAAATATACGATGCCAAGATCAATTACAAAGGAAAAAATTGAGCTAGGATAACTTTGATTCTAATGGACCCCTCAATAGCTCAATGAAAATCTTGAAGGGTTCGACTCAGCCATTAAAAAGCTAAAATTAGAAAAGCATTCTAGATTTTCCGATTATACTGTACCATACTATTATCAGTAGCGTTGCAGTTAGGCGTAGCAAAATAGAAACTCTCGAGGACTAACATAAAGCAAAGTAGCACCAACTTAAACATAAACCACACTCACACGACTTTTTTTCCCACTAAATTCAAGTTTCAAACCAAGTTTCTTTTCCCATAGATCTCAGTAGACTCTTGTAACATCTACATGAAACCATCGAAGAGCTACTCTTCAAATTCACGGAACTCACAACACTTCGAATTCAAGATACAAACACACGGTACACTCAACACAAACTCAACACAACCACCAGTGCACAAGTAAACAAAAACATAAAATCCCCGGACAAAGATAACATTAAACCCACCGAGCATTGAGAAAATAAGCCAGCAGCTTGAGCATTAGAACGGCATTAGGACTGTCCGGTTTCCCAAGATTGAAAACATGATCCTCACCTTTAAATTCCACAATTCTGACTTTCCCTTTCCATTCACTCTTTCTCAGTGCCCCCACATAACTCCGACCCCTAAACCTCAGCCCATCATTCCCAGCCACGAACACAGCCACCCGCCCGCACCCCAGCTTGCTCAGATTCGGATCTTTATCCGGGTTCACGAGCGGGTTATCAAGACCCAATCCGTTGTTCGGGTAGGCGTAGAGCCACAGTTTCTGCATCTGGGTCTTCAGATAGGGATAGGCCGATTCATTCCCAATGGTCCTCTTCCCCAAGAAGTAAGGGCAGTTCAAAAACATCCCACTGATTTTGAAACCCGGATTCTCCGAGCCGACCCGGATTGCCATGTGGTGCGCGATGTTGGCGCCGGCGCTGTCCCCTCCCAAGTAAAGGCGCCCGAAATCGGCGAATTTGGTGAGCCAGGGTTCGGTGCTGTTCAACGACCATTTCAGCGCCAGCCAGGAATCTTCGTAGGCGGCGGGGAGAGGGTTTTCGGGGGCTAATCTGTAGTTTACGGACAGAGCCACAACCCTGGCCCTCGCCGCGAGCAGGCTCAGGTGGCGGTGGTAGGACGGCGAGAAGGCGGACTCGGTGAAGAACCCGCCGCCGTGGAAGTAGATCAGGAGGGGGAGTTTCCCGGATCCGTGGGGTTTTCTGGACGGGCGATAGATTCGGGCCGACAGGCCTAAGTTGTCAGAGACATTGACGTCCTTGGAGAGGACGCCGCCGGGATCCGGGGTGTTTGGCGACGGCGGGGCGTAATCCTGGCCGATGAATCTCTGAACGGTGCCGTTTCTGTAGACGCGTATGAAGGGCAGAATGTCGTAGAGAATGGGGTCCGCGGAATTTGGAGCAGTTGCTTGAGAAAGTGAGTGGAAGGTGGCGATCGAAAGGAAAAAGATGAGAGAAGAAATTTGAGCAGCAGCCAACATTTTTTTTTTGTTTTTGCTAGTCTTGAAAGAGAGAGCAGAGGACGAGGTGCTGGGAAGAAGGAAAAGGTGTTGGATGTGTAATTGATGAATGGCGAGGTTAATGTTGTCCGTCTCCATTTCCTTTCTTTCTTTTTATTATTTTATAATGTTTTTTGTCGTCTTGTATCCACAGTACACATGCATTGTAAGTTGTAACCAGTTAAGATGCCACTACCCCGTATAATTTATATTAAACATTTAATGGCAAAATTTCAATTTTAGTTCACTATGTTGGCACTTTTTCGAAATTGGTCTATCATGTAGGGTGTATTCAAAATAAGTCCACTATGTTGCCACTTTAATCAAATTTCGTACAATTTTCGGGATGGATTAATAAAATGCTGATGTGGACGGATTAATTTCTGACATGGCAGGATTAATTTGTGACATGGATTGATGCATAATTCTTTGAAATTATAAAGAGACTCCAAGGATCGGACTATAATTTTTTAAAAAGTTTTAAAATCACATATTTGCCCCAGGCCTTAAGTGCAATTAACTAAAACTTTGTAACATTATAAAACAATCCCTAAAACTTATCAAATTTTCAAACACAAGCCCGTGCAATCCCAAACCCTATTTTACCCTTGTATTCACCAATCCGCTACATCACACGACCACCGGCCGGCCGACCGCGGATTCTCAGAACCACATGAACCCGACGATGACCTGCAAGGGATGCAACACGTCGCGAGGTCTTTCAAGGAAAAATCGAATTCGTGCAGAGGCCAATTTCGGGAACAATTTCGGGAACAAAGATAGTTTGGGGATTCCAGATGGTGGCCGGACAGAGCCGTTAACGGAGCACGAACTTAGATCGAGCATTGGAGTTTGTCGAGCTACAGGTCAACCCACTTGAGATCGGTCTGGAAGCTCGAAATTCGCAGCGTTGAACGAGGGAAAAAAGGGTCAGGTTTTGGAGAGCGACGATTGAGACACAGTGTTTTGAATGCTTCTTCTCGTCCGCCGGAACCCAGAGATGTTGTTCTGATGACCCTATTGCCGGCGCACCGGACTCCCACCCACGACGACGCGTAGTGGCCAGATCTAATGGGCCATTCCTTGGCCTGTAACCCTAATGAGGATTGAGGATCTCAACTGGAATGAAGAAAGCCACTCTTGACCAAATCGAAATTCGCTCCTCTGGACTTTAGTGAGCAGCCCAACAGAAAGAAGAACAAAGTTGAAGAAATGAAACGACCCTACTTCTTCGATCCGCCATTTTTTCTGCTCAAACTCCATCGAGCTTTAGGGGGAACAATTATTTAATCTTAATTAACTTAAGAAAAAAATTAGGTGGAAAAAAGAAAAGCGTCCACGTCAATAAATTTGAGAGAACTTACTATCCACGTAGAAATTTGACTCACACGTAAGAATTTGACCTTCCACGTCAGAAATTAATCCGTCCACGTCAGCATCTTATCAATCCATCCTGAAAAGTGTACGAAACTTAATTAAAGTGGCAACATAGTGGACTTATTTTGAATACACCCTACATGATGAACCAATTTCGGAAAAGTGCCAACATAGTGGACTAAAATTGAAATTTTGCCAACATTTAATTATGTGAATCGCTATTTACCGCCTTTTACTAGTCATCGTCCCTGTTTTTATATTTTTGCCCTTAGCCCTATCTCTCTACTCTTTCTTTCTCTCTAAATTCCGGAGACTTCAACAAACGATTCGAGTTTCAAATTTTTTTTGAAAAAATGTCGAAAAAATCCTACGGTAAAGGCAAAGCATTCTACTCTAGCAAGGTAATTTTTTTTTACAATTTAAATATATTTAAAAAAAAAATCTGTTGTCGCGTCTGGTCGGCGCATCCGGACGCGGCTCGGGTCGTACGGTCCGTGATCCCGTACGGCCCGCAGGCGACCTGTCATCTCAACCGGTCGCCCCTTTTGGCGTTCGGCCCGACTCGGCCGAACGCAGCACTTCATGTCCCTTTTTGGGGGTCGGACGGACGTGAAAAAAACTTGCCTCCTCGGCCGGTTAGATTTTTTTTATAATATATTAATAAATAAATAATGAAAATAATTATATTAATAATTATTATAATAAAAAATTTAAAAAAAAAATATTGTTAAATAAAAGGTGAGCAGGGATAGGGTGGCTCACCTCTACTAGTTGGTCAGAGGGGATATGGTACACCACCAGTACCGGTTGGTCAGCAGGGATATTGTTATCATCTGATCCGGTAATCCGCGGGTACTCACCCGAGTCACATGTTAAAAGGATAATTATTGGCACTGACTTAAAACCTGGTCACTTTGGTTTATATTACGACTGAATTCTGACACGACGTGGAGAAAACCGACTTGCTCTATGAAAACCGAAGTCACCACAAACCGAAGTCGCCATCTCCAAAGCAGGTGACAAGGCGCACACGGGACACAGTCTCACACCAGAAGAAATCTCATCATTTATGTTGGTCCCACTCCTATAGCCGCCCATCCTAAAGCCACTTTATGAAAAAGCAACCGTACATTTCGAAATACGGGTCTAAAAAGATACTATAAATAGGAGATTTTTATACTTGTACAGGGATCGATCTCTGAACATTCAACATATATATAAAAGAGCCCAACACCTTTCACCTCGGTTCACCTCGGACCGGGGCCATTGCTCGTGTTTTTTAATGCATGTTTTACGTCTAAACTCATCTAAACACTCAACTAATTACATACACAATCGTTGCTAACAATCATATAACAACAGTTTGGCGCTAAAAAGAGGGCTCATAAAATATTTGAGGCTAATCTTCGACTTATCATTCATCAGATGCATCATGTGTCAAGTTCATCCTAGCCATGTCCCAGTCGGAGCGTCATGGTCATACCTCACGAGATGGCCATAGTCGAAGCGCCGCTCAATCCGATGGACGCCGTATGACGGTAGCCAATGTGCCTGATTATGTTGCTCTGTTTCAAAATCAGAATTTGCGCGTGGGTTCGCCATCTTAATGGCTCAAACTGTACCTCGGATGTCGACGACGGCTCCAGGACAATCTGTCATCCCTATGACTCCAGTAAACCTGCAAATCCAACTGGCGCGACGGGGCGGCGATGGGGCCACCTCACATGCGACGTCTCAACTCGAAGTCATACATCCCAACCGCATAGAGCGAGAGCCGCTCATCAAACAGAAGTTACTCGCACTCCTCTGGTGATTCCCCGCGAAGAAACTGCTGAAAGCCAATCTGGGCAACCTCGGCGTTCTCCACCTCCTACGCAGCCTCGAGCCCATTCCAATCCGGCACGAGCAGATCTTCGTCAACAGATAGAGAGAAACCGTTCGGCTCGGCAGAAATCCTCTGAGTTAGAAACTTTACGACGAAGAATTGCCGAATTGGAGAGTCAACGAAGAGTGCAAGAAGACCCCCCTCGCCGAGCATCCACCTCGGTGCAAGTGTATTTAGAAGCCGATTATCCTCTAACTCCCGAGCTAACCTCGGAACCTGTACCTGGAAAAGTCAAAGTCCCACAAATCGGGTTGTATGATGAAACGTCGGATCCCGACTCCCACCTCGGTTATTATACTTCATGGATGGATCTTCATGGAGCCTCAGATGCACTTCAGTGTCGGATGTTTTCTCTCACTCTGGGGCCCCGAGCTCAAAAATGGTACCACTCTTTACCTCCTCATTCTATTTGGAAGTGGCAACAGTTGAGGTCGGCTTTCTGATCTCATTTCATCGGGGCCCAAGTTTGTTTGGTTCCGAAAGAATCCATCGCTAATATAACTCAAAAAGACGATGAAAGTGTCAAAGACTATATTGCTCGATTCAATGACCGAGTTCAAAATATGGAACCATGCCATCCCGAAACCCTACTTGTCATGGCAATTTCCAGATTGAAACCAAATTGCATTTTCCGCTGGACGTTGTGCCAGAATAAGACGAACACTTTCCAGGAATTCCTTGCTCGAGCTCAGCAACATATTATTGCCGAGGAAGAATGTCGGTCCCCGATTTCAATTTCAACCCAAAATCCTCTAAGTCAGGAACCGACGATAAGAAGAAACATAAGTCCTTCGCCGAGAAACAAAACAAGCCTCAATTCCGAGGTTATCCCCGAGGAGATGCCAACGACCCTGAAGTCAGAGCAGCCCGGAGGCAGTACGCTAATGACGTAAAATCGGGATATCAAACTGTATATTCTGCTGGGGCCGCTACAATCTACGAAGAAATTAAAGGGAAAGACATCCTGCCTGAACCAAAACTACTTCGGATGCCCGAGGACAAGTTGGATAAGTCGCGATACTGCGACTATCCTAAATCACCAGGGCATTATACCGATGAGTGTCTGAGCTTGCTGGCTACTTTATTACATTTAATCGGTCATCCACAACTCAGGAAGTTCTATCGGAATGTTGATGTTCGGAAACCAGGGCCGGGGTGTCAAATCGAGCCCTATGATGATGACGAGGACGAAGATCAAGGTGCCATGCCGAAACAAATCCGACAAGGAGAAAAAGAAGTATTTATGTTTACCTCGGATGTGTTTAATGTCGACACAACTGGAAACTCCCAAAGACTTAAAAGGAACTGATCCCCAAGTCCAATGCAAATCACGGTTCACCGAGTAAACACCAATAATTTGAGAGTTGTGTCATCTCGTCGTCAAATTAAGGCCTACGCTCGACAGGCCTACAATTCGGGTAAGCAAGTTTTCACTACCGATTTATGAGATGTGATTAATGCCCGGAATTGTCCCATTACTTTCAACATGGAGGACGCAAATCACTTTGCACATCCACATTCCGACGCTCTTGTCATTACTAATTCGATTGTGGGATTCTGGTTCACCGTGTTATGGTTGACACTGGGGCCTACTCTAGCATCTTGATGTTGAAAACTTTCGATAAAATGGGCCTTGACCCCACAGACATTCGACCTTGCAACGATCAGATACAGGGGTTTAATGGGAGTATCTCCCGACCTATTGGCGAGATTACTTTGC